GTATAGGGTGGTATTGATATGACCGTCACTTATTTGTATCGTGGTGTCCAGGAAATGGACCTCCCGTGTAAACTGGTCCATGCTGAGGTTGATGGTGGGGTGGAAGCTGTTGAAATCATGGTGAAATTCTTCCAGAGTCTCCTTGCCATGGGTCCAGATGATGATGTCATCGATGTAGCGTAGGTAGAGATGGGGCATAAGTGGACGAGAGCTGAGGAAGCGTTGTTCCAGGTCAGCCATAAAAATGTTGGCATATTGTGGGGCCATGCGGGTGCCCATAGCAGTGCCACTGGTCTGGAGTTTATCCTCACACACAACTATTTCAGATTTGGTGACAATATATATCTCCAGACCAGTGGCACTGCTATGGGCACTCTGTGACAGCTGCTCTCATTCTTTTCAGTTTCCCCTGCTATTGATGTTTGTTTTCACACTATGACAATTATAAAAAAATTAGTAATAAAATTTAAATTTTAGGAAAGTGTTAGTAAAGCTTGAGAAATTGTCAGAGTTGTTCACAAGAGGTATTGATATCTGAGTCTTTCTCTGCTTACCTCATATTTTAAAATGTCTACATAGTAAATTGATAGTATTTTTGTAATTAATGTGCTAGTTTCAGATTTTTGCCTGCTTAAATTATATTTTGCCTGTTAGCACATTTTTTTTTGCTTTTAGTTGGTGGTAGTTAAGTTTGCTCCTCTTGTACAGCAACACATCTGAAGTGAAAGATCTTTGATCACAGTCATAGAGAACATGTATTTAAATGAAGGGACAACATATGTAGTTGACAGCATCTTTTATAAGTGTGGGATATAGTGTGAATTAATTGGATAAATGATTAATTGGATTGTGATGATGTATCAGATATTACACGGATATACCATTTATTTGAGGAACAATATGCTATACAGGCAGTTCCCGGGTTACGTACAAGATAGGGACTGTAGGTTTGTTCTTAAGTTGAATCTGTATGTAAGTCGGAACTGGCGTCCAGATTCAGCTGGTGCTGAAACTGATCAGCGGCTGATTCCAGGAAGCCCGGGGCAGAGCAATTGTGCCTCTGGCTTCCTGTAGTCAGCGCTGGTCAGTTTCAGCAACGGCTGACTTGGGGACGTCTGGGGCAGAGCAGCTGGGGTGCTGCTGGGTTGCTCCAGTAGCACCGCTCCTCGGCGCTACTGGACCCAGCCGACCAGGGGCACCGCGAGCAAACCCGCAGCAGCGGCGGGGTCCCCTGCTTCTGAGGCTTTGCTCTGGCAAAGCCTCAGAAGCGCGGGACCCCCCCGCTGCTGCAGGTTTGCTCGCGGTGTCCCTGGTCTGCTGGAGACGGTCCCCAGCAGACCAGGGGCACCGGGAGCAGCTTTTCTCGCCCCGGAGCTCGAGGTGGCTGACCGCTGCCTGTGAGCTCCGGGGCGAGAAAGCCCCGTTCGTAAGTGCGGATCCAACATAAGTCGGATCCGCGTAAGTCGGGGGCTGCCTGTAGTTTCAAGGAGATGAGCTGTGTGTCAACCCCTGGTCTGCTGGAGACGGTCCCCAGCAGACCAGGGGCACCGGGAGCAGCTTTTCTCGCCCCGGAGCTCGAGGTGGCTGACCGCTGCCTGTGAGCTCCGGGGCGAGAAAGCCCCGTTCGTAAGTGCGGATCCAACATAAGTCGGATCCGCGTAAGTCGGGGGCTGCCTGTAGTTTCAAGGAGATGAGCTGTGTGTCAACTAATAGGCCATCTTGATCATAGCATATATTTTATGATAAACTAAATATATTCATATTATAATATTGATTAATTTGTTTTTTTACCTGTTAAAGCCTCATTTTTTGCAGAAAGCATGGGTTTTCAATGTGAAGATTTAACCACCCAGAATTCTCTTTCAATATATTTAAGGTGGCTTAATCAAAGCTGTCAGCCAAACTACTGGAAGGTACAGCTTTATTTTATTTTATTATTTTATTTTAGAAATGTTATCACTCAACATTTCTCATTACTCTTGACTTTTATTAAAGAAAGAAATACTTCATATATATGGAACAAAGAATGATCCATTAAATGTTTTTAAAAATTCTAGAATTCTCTCTTACTTAATAAACATGGGAATGGGAAGCCAGTTTACTATCTGAGTTGCAGAATCCTGTTAAACATTGTTAGAAAATTGATTTTTCATTTCTGAGTTTGGGAGCCAATCCTAACTCTCAACAAGGGATAATTTCTCAGTCAGGCATCAAAATTAAGTCTCTAAATGAAATCCTTTACTGGCAGTTAAGACCTGGATCTTGCAGGTATTTAAGCACGAGTGACTTTTACACATGGAAGTAGTCCCCTTAAAATCATAGGACTACTCTTATACTTAATTCTTTCCTAAATTGAAGCCTACATTGGTAGCTGTCAATGATAAACATAATTAGTATGCTTGTCTCTGTACATAGTCTGTTACATACTTGCAGAAGCCAGTCACCTGTAGGTTGTGTTGTCTTTCTAGAATCTGAAGTGATGTGGAATTGACATTTTAATTTGGTACATATTCTCTTGCCTATTCATTTACTTGAAAAAATGTCCTGCCTGGAGTATTGCTTTTAACCACCTTTAGTCATCTAAAGTACAGGAGACTCACTTTATCTCTTAATGTGGTACTAACAGCAACTTAGCTTTTTTTGGTTTCTTTATCTTGTTGAAGGATGCAAACAACTTTTGACTAAAGAATGAGTCTCATGAGTGTTCTGCTATTTTAAACTGAAAGCACCTGTTAGAGAAACAGATTTTGTACTGCACAGTATTGAAAGCCAATCAATGTTTCTCTTAATAAGAATATTCATAGCTTTTGTAACTTCAGTACAACTGTGTATTAGATATCTTAAAATATTGTACAGCTGTAGTTTTATAGTGGATTTTAGATTTGTTAAAGCATCTTGTTTAAAATGCATCTTTACTGAAATGTTGATTACAGAACGTAATACCAGATGCTTCAAAATCCTGTGGACCATACAAACAGGCTAAACAATTTAATAGTGAAGAATGGATCAACTCACAGAGAAGAATAAATATTCATAATCATGATACGATTGGTAACTCTCTTTGGTTATTTTATGTTAAAAGATGTATTTTTTTTTTTTTTACTTCATGATCAACTTAATTGTACTGAGTTCAAAGAAAAATTATTTCAAACTTCAGTAAAACTCTGATGGTCCAGCATCTGATGGTCCGGCACTCCTGATGGTCCGGCACCATCAGGAACCCGGAAGTGCTCCAGGCAGCCGGACCATTGGAGCTGCTCTGCCCCAGCTTCCCAGCTTCAGCTGCTGCTAAAACTGACCAGCGGCTGAATTCGGGAAGCTGGGGGCAAAGCAGCTGGAGTGCTGCCGGGTTGGTCCCGTAGTGCTGCCCCTCGGGGCTGCGGAACCAACCTGGCAGCACCCCAGCTGTCCCCGATTCAGCCACTGCTGAAACTGATCAGTGGCTGACTACAGAAAGCCCAAGGTAGAGCTGCTTTGCCCCAGACTAAGCTGGGGCGCTGCCGGTTGGTCCTGCAGTGCCACTCCTCAGCACTACTGGACCAACCCAGCAGCACCCCAGTTGCTCTGCCCTGGGCTTCCTGGAATCACCTGCTGATCAGTTTCAGCAGCAGCTGACTTGGGGACACCTGAGGTAGAGCAGCTGGGGCGCTGCCAGGTTGGTCCCCGCAGCGCCGAGGTGCGGCGCTACTGGACCAACCCCGCAGCGCCCCAGCTGCTCTTTCCCAGGTGTCCCGATTCAGCTGCAGCTCAGGGGCACCGGGAGCAGCTTTTCTCGCCCCGAAGTTCAAGATGGCGGACCGCTGCCTCGAGCTCCGGGGCGAGAAAGCCCCGTTCGTAAGTGAGGATCCGACATAAGTCGGATCCGCGTAAGTCGAGGACTGCCTGTATTTCATGGTTAATTTTTCACATGCTGTCAGCATAGCAAACACTTCAGAACTGCAGAATATGGGGACACATTTCCAAACAATCAGTTACATTTTATCTTCTGAGTTTTGGACTGGATCTTTGCCAACTTGGTAATTGTCAGGGGAAAAAAACTCTTCAAAAATGTTCATTACCAAGGAATTACCATTTAAATGTTACGTTCTGAGACATGCAAACATATTGATCAAACTGCTTGGGAACAAGCAAAATTGACTTCAGTGGACTACTTAATTGCTTTAAGAATCTCTCTGAAATGAGGCTGAAATTCCATAATTTCTGGAAGTAAAGGGGTCCCAAAGTTGGTGGATCATATATTGAAATGGCATGTCTTCTCTTCATTTGTACTTGGTTAAGATTATAAAACTTTATTAATGTACAAATTCTCTAAATCACTAGAGGCTTTTTGGATTCTTTGAAATCTGGATAAAATAAACATTCACTAAAGTATTATGCACATTGTTTCTAATTATTTTACCAGGAATGATGATCTATGGCCCAGTTTTCAAATGTTTTAAAATATCAATGTTTAGATTCCTCTGAAAATGTCAATTCAGGTCTGAAATAGGGAAGTTAAATTTAGATAAATTAACTAATCAAATAGTCAATGGGATTTCCATTGACTGTTTGATTAGTTGATAAGGGCACCTTCGTCTTTGAACTGTAGCAAGAGCCCTGCCGGACTCTAGCTACAGTTCAAAAGCAGAAGCCCAGCAGGGAGCGAGGGACCAGTGGGGTGCTGGTACCGTGCTCTCTGTGGGCCTTCTGCTTTTGAAATGTGCAGGAACCCTGCCAGGGCTCAGAAGCAGAATCGCAGCAGAACCAGTGCGAGTGGAGACTACTTCAGTCCCCACTTGCGCCATTTCCCACTGTGTCTTTACCTCTCCTGCTCCCCCCCCACCTTCCGGCCAGAGTTTGGTGCTGTGGGAAACCAGCTTTTAAGCCAGCTCCCCCCGCACTGGCTCCTGCTTCTCCCCTTGCTGCCTCTCTCTGATAGAAAGGCAGCTTATACTTATTGGATAGTTAACAAGTTGCTTCCATCCTTAGTGTAAAACTTCAGTTTGAAAATAGGGCCTTTACAACAGCTTTCAAAATATCAGTTTTCATGCTGCTGAATGGTAACACTGATGTATTAACAAATATATTAGAAATTATTTTTAGTAAGCTTTGCCATTGTTTATATCTACAGGCATGATTGTAATTGGTGCTTCTGGAAATGTTGCAGTGGGGACATCTACAAATGGTGCAGTCCACAAAATGCAAGGGTTAGTATTTGTAACTCGAGAAAAATGCATATGGTATGCATAATGCTTGATTTCTTGTAATTATTTGTGTTGGCAAAGTGATATTTTGCTTATCTAAATGATTATGTTTATTCAGGGACTACCACAACAGGGCTATTTTCTGGTGGATCTTGTAGGTGCTGCTGTAATTACAATTTGTAATGCGCTTGTTTTTTCAATTTTGTATATAAATATAGTAGAACTGACTTTAGGTTTTCCCTTTTTTACTTTTGTTTTTAAATGGGAGCAAGAATTGGTTCTTTAGGAGCATTGTTTAAAGAATCTGTGGATGTAGCATTACCGTCTTTTAGTGAATATACCCTGCACCCGAATATACCCCACGGTTTTTGCCGTTTGAGTTTAGAAATCCCTATATACCCTGCGCACGAGTAAACCCCGTCCCCCCGGGCTATATTCGGGTGCGGATATATTCCTGCCTGCCCCTGCTCCTGTGCACCATGGCCGCCTGCAGCCTCCTTTTGCTGCTGCTGGCCACCGACCCCCGCGCCCGCAACTGCTCCGAGGTGTGGTAAAGGGGCTACAAGGAGGATTTGCAAGGGGGTGCAGGGAAGATTGCAAGCAGGTTGCCAGGGGGCACGGGCGATTTGCAGCGATCTGCAGCGTGGGCCACCCACCGCCTGGGCTGGGAGTCTCCCACCTTGCACCTCTGCTGGGGATGCCTCTGCCCTGGCTCCGGAGCATTCCCAGAGAGCAAGCTGGGCTCTTGGGCAGACTTTGCCCCCACTCCCTCTTCTGGGAGAGCCATGCCGGGAAAAAGTTACTGGGCTGCACCCGCCCCTCCCCCGCCTTGTAAGTTTCCCCATGTTGTTCAGCCGCAGGCTGTTCAGTTTGGCCCCGGCTCTCTGCGGTGGCAAAGGTGTTTGCAGCTCTCCACCCCAGCCTGGCAAAGGTTCAGCTGGGAGGGGCTCTCAGAGTGGGGGAGGGGCATTCTCCAAGGCATGTAGTGCATGGCCTGCCCGGCACTGTGCCCCGTGATGCCTGCCTGTGAGCCTGATCTGGGCAGGGGAGCACTCACCTCCCTGGTAGCTTTTAGAGGCCAATCCTCCCGGAGGGGAAACACTCACCTCCCGTTTCCCGCGCAGCCGCATTCACCCCCAGGTGAGTAAAAAAAAATGTTGTATACCCCACACCCAAGTATACCCCGTGGGGAAGGGTGCGGAGTTTGTAAAAACGATATAACCCGCGGGTTATATTCGCTAAAACATGGTACTCTGTATATGTGATGTTGAATTTAATTTGTTTTTTCATGCTTGTGTTAACTTGTTGGCCCTTTTTAAAAATATGGTAAATGACATGCCTTTTCACTCTTTGAAGTTTAAAAAAAATAAAAAATGCATGTCAGTAATAAGTTTGATTTGACCAATAAATATCTTCTGAATTTTAGGAGTCACAACAGGATTGAGAAATGAGGACTTGTTTATAGATTGACCTATTCCTGAATAACTCTGTATGAACTCTTATTAGGAATGGGTGATTTTTTTTCAAAATTTGCTTAAATCACCATGGAAGTGGACTGACTTGAACCAGAAACCTTCTGTATCTTGAAGGAAGTATACTCAGGAGGTCTAAACCTGTAGTGCAGTCATTATTTCATCAGATGGTTTTGCTTTTTTTCTGGCAATGTTTTGGAGCGTCCAAATGTCTTGTCTATCTTATTACTGAATAGAATGTTCTCATTACCATGGTGTAAATTTAGAAGTTTTTTTGAAATGTGAAACTGTAAAATCCTGTGGTTCTTATTGCTGTTATTGATTTAAACAAGAACCCTGTTTAAGAAGTTGCCTTTAAATATTGAATCTAGTTCTGCTCTGGTACACTAATGCAACCCTACTGGCATTAGTCAAGTTACGCACTAGTGTAACAGTGATCACAGTTTGGTCCATTATAAATAAATGTCTTCATTTTAACTTGGTGCATTTCT